TAGGCAGGTCAACTAATAGCCCGTAGCGCAATTTAAACACTTTCATTTGAAATTAATTGTGACCATTATGGAACTGCTGCACCTTCACCTTGATTGTTAAGAGTCGATCATACTTCCAGCAAACACACAAGGCAAAAGAACGAGCTTTCATTGAAGGGAGAGACCTCAAACAAATCGCATGCAGCTTGCAACTCAGTGTCAAGGTTTGTGGAGTTTGAAGCCAAAAACTCTTGGGACGTAACTCTGTGTTGCCTTCTGTGGCTTTAGGTGACCATATGTCATCAAAAATAGGTGAGGAAATGTTGTTCCAAAATAAGCTCCATCAATATCTAGGCAATGTCAAAGAAATTTTTGTATAGAAACAAAACAGAGTGTAACTTTAAACATGTAGATGCTGACATAAAGCCATAAAAACTATGCAATGCAAAATTAAGCTCATAGTTGAACCTAACGGGCCAAGTATCTAATATCACAGCCTACATCTTTAGTCCAAAAGTTAAAAGTTAAGCAGAATCATAAGAATGATGCTCTGATGTCAAAAAGATATGGGAACTTTCATGTCAGTATAAAAATATGACCAGATGAAGTAAAATCTTTAAAGATATAGCAAAAGGTATGAGCAGATTCCACTTATATGCAATGATATCAAGTAGCCAGTGATTCATGTTATAGAAGGATACTGCCTTGATACTTGGATCGAGGGTAATAGATGTCTTCACATTTTGGACAGTAGATTTTGACAGTACTTGAACGAGGAATGTCTGATTGACCAACTGGGAAGCAGGGCTGTCCACAGCAATAAACTCGTGGGCATCTCCCAAAGTCATAGTTTTTGTACTTCTCCAACTGTAGAAGTTTCCAAAACAACATTTAATAACCAGTTAAATAAGATTAGATGACAAACAGATAAAGGAAGGAAACAACAGAAGCAGCAGTAAATAATATTACCATTGCAGACATCCCCTTGCTAGTAAGTATGTAACGCACATGAATAAGACCGTAAAGCATCTCTGCTGCAGATTCCACCAACTCATTCTGTTCTTCAGTGAACATATCACCTGAGAATGTGCAAATGCAAAGAAACTTAACATCAGCATACAATACACAATAAGATGCAAAGGGTCCCCACTCAAATAATGGATTTGTTAATGTGAGAAAACTTAACCAAGCTAAGAACCCCTGCATCTTTTCTATTTCTTGGATATCAGAAAATATGACCACCTAAAGAGGACTTCTCAAGCCAGGACTCCTTAAATTATTCAATCACTTGTTTGAACACCAGGCACACACAATCCAAGGACAAAGAACAGTCACAAAATGGTATATGTTAAGAGCACTACCCAGATGATGAAGAATCATTCATATGGAAAAAGTTAAGCATACACAAGAAAAAAATCTTTCTTTGCAAGAAAAATTCACTCTTTTACGTTTTCATTCCTTCATCTGGAGTTTTAATAAAACATATTTTCAAACTCAGTGTCATAATGTGCAGAAAAAAGACATGTCCGATATAAATTAAACATTGATCAGAGATTGGTTTCAACAGAATACAAAAGGCAGCTGCCCATGCTCAGATTCTGCATTTGTATCTCATGCTCGTAGATTATGGATGTAGGCCATGTGAAAGTTCAACTTAAAAGATTACCAAGCAACAGAGAACACATAGCAAATGAATTGGATTCTAAGTAGAAAGGTTGAAGGGAAAAACCAAACTTTCCAAAAGTTCAGTTTGAATTTTCAACAAATAAACATAAATTACATACAAGCCGTAGTCCTATTTACAGCAGGGAATTGCTTACCATGAGAAGATTCAACATCCAATATAAGATCAAGTGCATAATCATAGTATGGAACTTGACTGCTCAGTCCACAAAGATTAAAATCATCCTGAATGTACTCATCATCAACTTCACAGAAAAATTCATTTCCTCGCAAATTGCAAAACCACGAGATCCAAGATGTGTCATCTCCATCAGAACCACTAACATCCGACTCCTCACTGTCTGTCTCGGATTCCTCTGCAGTTCATCAAAATAAGGGCCTCATAGCAGATGATTGTTAATACCTTACATAAATAATTAAGTGCATACAGGGAAGAGAGAATAAAGCAAGTCCAAGGGCCTCGATTAAAAACAACAAATAAGAACAGCCAAATTAACATAGAATCCAAGCAACCAAAACATCTTAAGGAATCCAAATGCAATGATTGAAACATCATTTTCTCCTACCACTGCAATTCCACACATGAAAAGTGTAGAAAAAAGAAGAGCACTTAAATGGTTACCCATTATTCTTAGTTGTGAAGGACTCTCTATATACCATCCCATGCAACACTTAATTAATACATTAGTAGTAAAAGAATAAATACCAAACCCAGATCCATTTGCCCCTAAAATGTAACTTATACAGTATAAATACGACGAGCAAGAAACTGCCAAAGTTAATGTATTGATTAGATTGAATAATGCTCGAAGCCAGTTGCTTTCACCGAGGCATAAGTCAAAATGTAGTTAAACTCCTCACGCTCAGACAACAATATTCACATTAGATGAATGCAACACAGCGGAGAGCGAAAATAAAAAAAGTTAGTATATCACCCCTTAACCATAACCACACCTTATCCACTTAAAAACACACATACAACAGCTCAACCTACTAAATCAAACAAAATCATCACCGTTGCTCCACAAACCAAGATCCCATGCACCAAATAAGCTAAAAAAAAATCATCATAAAACACAAACCCCAAAATTAAAAGTAAAAAAATCACTCTAGCTAAAAGATCAGCATACACACAAGCCACATTGCTCCGAAGAGAACAGCTAAAAACCAAACTTCCAAAAAACAATTAACTGTCCAGAGAATCCCAGATGCCATAACACACATTCACCTCCAAATTATTGTCCAAAGCTCCCACAGAACACAAAATCCCTAAAAATAGGGACATTTAATCAATCCCAGAAAACACAAAAAAAAAAAGATAAAAAAGATAAACAAAAGCAGCAAAAACCTAGATCCCAGACGCACAAAAACAATGAAAAATAATCAAGTTGAGCATAAAGAACGAAGAGAAAGCACTAGTACCATCAGAGCATTTGTTTTTGGAAAGCGAAGCGGAGCGAGAATCAGCACGATGATGATCAAGCTGCTGCTGATGGTGCTGTAATGATTTACCAGTAGAAGTAGAAGGAACAGATAATCTCTCCTTATCCTTACTACTATTATTCAATCCTCTCGAAGTTGAAGGAGAAGACTTCTCCAGATGCTTGTCTAGCGCATCATTTATACGCTTTCGATCAAGCGGTCCTCCTACAATATCCGATCTTGATGACCCGCCACCAAACCCGCCTCGATCTTTGTACATGATTCTTCTCTCTATCAGTTTCAAAACCCCAAAGTTTCGATCTTTTTTGACAAAGTTTCAAGCTTTGAGGGATAACATGGTGGAAAAAAAAACCTAGATTAATGGAGAATTATGGGTTCCGAAGGATTTGACAATTTAAAGATGAATTTGAGAAATTAGGGTTGGATTGAAGAGAAGGGTGTGGACGGAGAGAGCTAGGGTTATTTTTTTGGTGGGGAGAAAGGAAGGAGATTTACGCGAGAGCGCTTTCTCTCTATGGGCTCTCTTTCTCTCTTCGTTTTTTCTTGTCATTCCATTCTTTTTGAAGATTTGTTTTTTTCTTTGAGATTTTTTTATCCTATTCTTATTGTTCTTTCTTTTATTGGGCTTAAGGGAAGAACACTAGAACTAGCCCATCATTTTGAGATATAGTTTCTGCAATGAGAAAATCGAGCCCAGTGTAGGAATTTGAGGTGCTTGCTCAGGTGTTAGGTTGCATGTTTTGGTTTCGGGTTAGAATCTAGAAAGAGATTGAGATGCGTCACTTTGGTATAAACTAAGTGTTCAAAATTAAATTGAGAGAGGTTTGTTTTCATGTACGAAAAAATAGTGCAAAGATGCATTAATAATATTCAATTCAATGCTTGTTATGAAAGAAATTTAAAGGAGTTGATCATATAATGGAGTAAGTGTACAAATCTCACTATTACGATTCAGGCATCAATATTAATGTTATGAATAGTAGTTTAGTTTAAATTCTTAATCAAAATTAACTTTTTTTAATGCATCAAAAAAATATCAGAGTTATAAAAAATTATTTGACATTATTATCATACCCTACTCAACTTAGTATGAATAATGGTTTAGTTTAAATTCTTAATCAAAATTAACTTTTTTCCATGCAAAAAAAAAAATATCAGAGTCATAAAAAATTATTTGACATTATTATCATACCCTACTCAGCTTAACAGGTCAAACTTAAAAAATTTTAATTTAATATAATTTTAAAACTAAACCATGTAAAAATTATTCTAGCATAACTCAATCTATTTGGTTAATTCATTCAAAAATAACTTAGTTAACTTGTAAAAATATATGAGAATGAAATTAATATACGAAAAACCTTTAAATTTAACTTTTGTTTAATCTTGATTTAAAAATAAATCATGTGAGAATTACTTTAATATGATCTAATTAACATAATGTAAAAATAACTCGAATAATTATTAAAAAAAGGTTAAAGAATGAAATTGAAGGAAAATAAAAAGGGAATTGGAAAGAAAAAAAAAGTAGAAGGGTTGAATTGATAAAAAAAAAATCTCTATAAAAAATCTCAGTATATTTAAGAGGAAAAAACAAGATTTGAAGGAAAAAATCTCATCATGTCAAAGTTCTTTTCCGATAAGAAACAAACAAGAAAATACATATAGATTTTAGGACATGTTCTGGACAGGTTCGTAGTGGATAAGTGCAAGGCTATATACTTTGCTGGACACGAAGCCACTGCTATCACAGCTTCATGGTGCCTAGTGTTATTGGGCTACTCACCATGAATGACAAGCTCGTGATCTAACGGAGGTGATTGAAATCACCTTCCAGATGCTGACAGGCTTCGAAACATCAAAACTGTAAGTGATGCTAACTACATGCAAGGAAATTCAACCAAGTCTTTGTCTGAATTTCTACTGTTGACTTTCAACAATTTACAAGCAGCTTATAATGGCAATCCAAGAGACGATGCGCCAATACCCGCCTGTGGTGTTTGTGATCAGATCCTTCCAAGATATAAAGTTCAAAGACATGACAATCCCGAAAGAAATGAACATTCAAATTTCAATCCCAATACCGCAACTGAATCCTGATCTATGGGGGCCTGATGCTCACCAGTTCAATCCGAAAAGATTTGCCAAGGGAATTCCATGGGCTAGCACAAATCCCCAGGCATAATGTCGTTTGGGGTGGTGCTTGCATCTGTGCAGGTCAACACTTTGCATGGCAGAAATGAAGGTTATTTTATTACTCATCATGCCAAAGTTTAGCTTCTCATCTCACCAGCATACCATCATTCCCCACAGTCCAGGCTGGTTGTGCATCCTTGGGACGGTGTTAGCCTCCATATTAGAAGAGTACCTTGACATTCAAGCTTTGAGCAACTTCTGTGAGGAAATTAAGACAATTCTTACATTGTTTTGTCAAATAAATTGCATTCGGACATGCATAAATTCATAATGCAAGCATTCTTTGAATCCGATGCTTGGTCGTTTATCTCTGCTATCGTTCAATGAGGTTATCAATTCATAGCCTTATGCAGCACATGTTGCAATTATGCAAATACGCAAGCACGTTATTTGAACCTCACTCTATTCCCTGACATAGTTTGATAATTATAGTTAGAATCCAACAGCTTACAAGGCTAGCTCTATAAACAAAATGGGGTCAGCACAGGCATGATTTCCCATAAGATAATCCTTTGGATCACCACAAGCAGATTTCATGAAAAGAAGGAGCGGCTTTTATTGCGTTCCAACCGAGCTTCTCTCTATTAAGACAAAAATATAGAATAACATAATGTATATATTAAGAAAGTTTGATATACAGAAGAAAATACAACCCTCACATCATTTCATGTATTTATTTGTTGAACCTGTTTCTTAATAAGAGTATAAACCTTTAAACATTAGAAAAAAACGATACCTCCTTTTTCTTGCATTCCTTGTAGACATCAAAATGCTCTAGACATTTGCTTTTGTCCGAGCCAAACTCTTCCAAGCCTGAATAAAGAATTCTTCCTGTAAGTTGAGACTATAGTATTTTGGCTGAATGCGTTTTACAAATAATGAAGAAATTCTTGGAAATGTATACAGAGCAATAATCTAAAGCTAATTTGAATCAAGAAAGCTCCAATGTGCCTCCACCAAGCAAATAAACCACAGCTAACAGTTATACAGCGTTTTCCTTTTGTTTATCATCTAACTTTATGAAAGCTCATTACAAATTAACCAAGCAATCCCTCCAATTTAACCATAATCGGAACTTCTAGTGAGCTCATACACAACACGACCATTTAGATGTTACGGTTCCCCATTGCTCAGTACACACTAAAATTCACTACTAAATCACGAGTGTCCAACTCCATCTACTAGAAGGAATAACAAGGTACACATAATAAAGGATTTGCAGTACTAACTAGCACATGCTGCACCAGTCTGCAACAAAGTAAAGCTCGACCACAGCTGGGACACAACATACACTTTCAGATCGATATAGGGCATCCTAGCAGGTAGATGCTGCAAATTAAAAGTAATATAATTTAAACTTCGCTTTTTTAATCCCTTCAACTCAAAATGACATCCCAACAGCATATTTCAAGACACACATCTTCTACATTTTTCACTTGGCATAGCTTATGTAATTATCTGGGACGCTACCAACTGGATGTGATTCTAGTTTTGGGTCAAAATATGATTTACTTAACAGGGGTTCATTAATGTGCTTCGAAATATAAGCATCAAGCCAATCCAAGAACAAGCTCTCATTCCCAATCCCACACCAAAAATAAGATCAGTCAATAAATCTTAAAGGAAAAGGATCCAAGATAGAACCTACAATCATACTGTTCAAAGTCAGACATATACATGCAAAATCAAGTATAAAAGATGCATTCTTGAACGTTAAACATGCAGTAAAAAAGCAAAGCCTAAAAAAGAAAAAAAAAGTAAAGTATCAACACAGAGAAAATGGGGGGAGGGAGTTGTTGCTTTACATTTGAGAGAGGCAGCGTGCTGCTGGTAACATTGAGAGTCTGCGAATCTTGCAGAACTTGGGTGTGGAGGTGTTGCTGCTGCTGCTGCTTTTGATTCCATTTTTTATTTTAGCTTCCCTGCCCTTCTTGCCTCCTTCCGCTCGGTGAATAAAATCTGATGATTTATTAATTACATATGTTCTCTAAAGCGAACTGTCGTTCGATTATGCCCCAGCCGACAACGTGATCTGCCAGGACAGATTCAACGACCTACTGGTGTCGACGAAATATCACAGGAGAAGAGCTCAACCGAGAGGTAATATTCAAATAAAAATAGAAGAGATGTTTTTAATTACTCTTAATATATCATTTTTATATTTTTTTTAATTGAGGATATGAATTTTTAATTTTTTTTTGTTCGAGGACATTGATTTTTTTTTTCAAAATTTTTAATCAACTACTTTCATTAATTTTTATATTATTTAATGACATGTTATTTACTCTTAAATAGTATTTTGAGTTTCATTTTATATCAATCAAGTACATTAACATTAATTGTGATACATCAACGTTTTTTTATTTTTTAATATGTCTATTTTAGTAAAAATACCCTCTAAAATAATATTATTTTTTTGATAAATAAAGATATTTTAAAAAATTAGAATAAACCATTTAAGGTGTAAATTATTTTTATCGGTAAATTATCTACATAAAAACTAAAAAATATTTTATATTTGACCAGTTATTGATATAGCTAAAGTGTCTCTGTGGAACAAAATCTATAAAGATAATTCATTGAATTTTTTAATTGTCCTTTTAAAGTTACTTGGTGCTAATAACAATTTAAGTTAAGTGAATGAATATTCATAAAGTAAAAAATAAATTTAGGACACTATACAGTATAAACAATGAGAATATATACGTCGTAATATTAAATTTAACTGACAACATTTGAGAAAATGATATTTCTCGAGTTAGGCTAAGAAATCACATCCGCACAGAGGAGAGAGTGAGAAAATTTTCGGGAAAATATGAGGAGGTGATAATAGTTATTTTTAAAAATGTGTTTTTTTAGTAGTGTGTAAAACTATATTTTTTTTTAGTTTTAGAAAAAATTATTTTTAATAATAATATTAAAATGATCTGAAAATATTCAAAAATAATTTATTTTAAAGCAAATAACAAAATAAAATAAAATTTAAGTTTTTTTAAAAAATATTTTTAAAATAAAATAAATAGGAAAAAACATCTGGCAAACTTAGCTCATGAAGAAAAACCTGTATTATTCATCCAATTCAATAAATCACATGACATCAACAATTAAAATAATTAGAAATTATTAAAAATATATAAATTTAATGATTTTTTAAAAATAAATTAATTTTTAAACATGATTGAAAACAAAATACCAAATAAACACGAAGTCCCTTGTTACTAGACGCTCTCGTGTCATTTCAGTTGAACACAAATTTAATCCCTTTGTCGGAATGTTATTTTATAGTTAGAGGGGTCAATTTGGTAAAGACATGAAAAATCTCTCTGTCTACAGCCTTTAATTGTAAAGTGAAACCACTTCTGTCGCGTGGACCCGCCACTTCAACCCGCTAATCATGCACTAATGATTTGACTTTTCAGCTTTCTTCCATCATCGAAGAAGTTCCATGTAGAGTTATTTTGCATAAAATAAAGGAGAAACATGGCTTTATGCAAGTGAGTAGCGACTAGGGTGTAAATATTATAAAATTTATTCTACACCTAGCTCAAGTTATGTATTTTTATTAAATATATATATATATATATATAATATTTATGTTTTTAATTCAAATTAATAAACACACAAATATATATATAATCTTACTATTTAATACATATGTGTATGCTTCAAATATATATTACTATGTTAATTTTTTATTAAATAACATATAATAGTAGTAAAATGGATAATATATATACACACTGGAAACCTAATGAATAGAATATAAATATTTAATTTTTTTACTTTGAATAGTATATTAAGAGTCTTTTTGTTTAAAGTATTTTTTATTTGAAAATTTATTAAAATAATATTTTTTATTTTTTTTTAATTTATTTTTTATATCAACAAGAAAATAAATTATTTTTAACAAAAAAATAAAATTTTTAAAAACACGATTCTAAAACAAGCACTAAGTATGAATATAAAAAACCTTGGTCTGTAGAAATTCATTTTCATCCCTGCATAAAACTTCTCTAGTTCAATGCAGCATGGTGACCGAGGGCAGTGGAGTGGAAATGATCCCAGGACCTCGTCTTTAACAAGAGGCACCCTCTCCCCTTACGGCAATTTCGGCACTCCTTTATTATATTGTAAGGGGATGATTGATCTATGGTGTTTTTGTCAGAAAACCAACAAGACGCTAGACTTTCCGGGCCACTTGTTGTAAAAGGACTTTACATTAAGGTTGTCGGCTTTGTTTTGTTATATTCTAGAATGGCAAGTTTATTTTATTTTAGTTTAAAAAACAGAATAAACTAATATATTTTATTTTATTTTTAATCTTAGCTTGTTTTGTATATTCTGTCCAAATTCTGATTGGAATGTTCTAGTTACGTTTCAGTCAATTATTGTGTCTTTTTTGCTTTATTTCTTTTTAAATATTATATAGTTGTCATGGTATCAATCTCATCTTCTAATTTGATTACTAGATTGATATTTATTAGTTTTTTATTTTTTTTATTAAATATTTTATAATTTTATAATTCAACAATAAATTTATTAAAAAATAAATTTTATAATTATTTTAATTTATTTTTTTAGACAATTATGATTTCATAATCTAATTACAAATTAGAAAAATTAATTCAATTCAATCAAATATATTGCCACATTGATATTTAAAAAAATATATATATCATTTTAAATTTTTTCAAGTCAAATTAAATTTTTATTAGTTGTTTAGGTTTCTTTGTACTCATTAAATTAATCGGGTTATATCAGTTTAATTTTTATTTTTATATTTATTTTTAAAATTTAAATTAAATAAATTTATATATATTACAGAAATGGCACGCTAAACCCTTCAAATCCAAAATATATTTTTCCAATTAAAAAAGCAAGACGCCAATAGCTTGCTTTAAATGTTTCTTGACGTTAATTTACAGTTTATTATTGTTTAGTTGCAAGGCTCTATCAAATAAATATTTACATGTAAGACAAAAACAAAAACCGTAAAGTGGTTATAAAATATTCATTAAACTTATTTGTTTTCCCACATAAAAAAAATAATGATTGCTTGAAAAATAAACAATTGCCAGTGGGTCTCTGAACTCGATTATAATGAACTAGGAACCAAAGCTAATATAAAAAAACTCATCTACGCAACTTCAAGTTTTTAGCGAGTAATTAAAAGACGGCCTAGCCACCGCAGAAGGTTTGCGCTGATATTTTATATACATAACCAAACCCTGTGCAGGCAGGCATCAGCCTGTTGTATACCCTTTTATGCAGAAACACACGGTGGAAACCTCTACCTAGGCCTCAATCACACTTGATATTTTATTCTAGTATGTTTGAAAGTCCAAATACATACATCGGATACAATGAACTTATAATCCAATGGATCCATTCAACTCTTAATATAACGTCTTTCATTCATATTAAAGACGAGAATTTAATCTGTAACATACTGTGAATATGCAGACTAGCTAGTTAGTTCGTTTTTCTTCTATAAAAAATAGAAATAGTACTATTTATTTTGCTCCTACAGTGGCTAAAAGTTCATTTATCTGTGCCAAGGGTGAGTTAAGAGAGCAAATTAATAATTTTCTTCCATGCAAAGCTTAATCCCTGGTGTAAATCCCAGACTTACAAATTAAGCAAGGATATACACTAGTAAATAAATATTTAATCAGAAGATAAAGGAGATATCGGATTACTGTAATTTACCCAAAAGAAACGACGTGGTTTCTTCAAACTGGGGCTTGACTATTTTATTTCCTTCCAGCCACGCTTGATTTCTGGAATTCCGTATCCAGTTTTGGCTTGCTTACCGTATTAAACTATAATTACAAGTCAGAGAACCTGGTATGTTTCGTGTACATGATGCATGGCCGTATATTCCACCTTATATGTAAATGACCATTCTGCCCTACACACCTAACCTCTCCTCTTCTCTCTGTCTTCGGTAAATCACACAGCTGACCCTTGATAAATTATACCAAACCTTTCATTATCTTTAACAAAGAAAAGAAAAAAAAGCCCGACATGATCAATATGGACTCCTCAAAGAACTCTCTTGGAAATATAGCACTCGTCTTAATTCTCTTTGCCGGTGTCCTTTACCTTTGCACCTGGTCGTCTGCCTCACGATCAAGCCCTTTATTATTCTCGTCTCGAAGATCATCTAACCATTGGCCATCTCACTCACAATCTGTAAGTATTCATCTATGTATGTTATATAGCATAGTTTCATATGGTTTTCCTTCGCCGTAGAATCGCTTATTTTTTCTGGTCACAGGAAATGAAAAGGTTGAAGTTTCCAATAGACGAGCTTGAATTGGCTTTGGAGAAGGCCTCAACTCCAAACAAAACAGTGATTATAGCTGTTGTTAACAAAGCTTATGTAGACCAAACTATTCATGCTGAAACAACAATGCTTGATCTTTTTCTCGAGAGTTTGTGGCTAGGAGAGGACACTAGGCCACTTCTCGATCATCTACTCTTAGTTGCTGTCGATCAAGTTGCTTATGAGAGGTGTTTGTTCAAGCGGCTAAACTGTTACAAGCTGGAAACGGAAGGTTTGGGTCATTTTGGAGGGGAAAAGATCTTCATGTCACAAGATTTTCTCAAGATGATGTGGAGAAGAACCCTTTTGTTGTTGGAAGTTCTCAAGCATGGATACAACTTTATTTTCACGGTACGTTTCTTGCTAAGCTCCATTGATTTCTGTGTTTTAGTTTGACTGTTACTCGGCTATCATTTCTTGTCGGCAGGTAAATTAAAGGCTACATAATTTTAATTAAGTAATCTGACCTAATTTAGGAAAAAAAGTCATTAGAGGAGCTGAGTCATGGTGTTTGGGGCCATATGTGGCATCATGAACTACGTGCCTCCTCTACTGTCAATTTATGAAAATTTTACTTTCCTACGACTGATATGACTTTGTTAAAGAACAATAATCTCGTATTTATTTAATCTTTTTGTAGTTTTATAAAAAATAATTCATATTTTTTTAATAATAATTGAAGTTATGTTATTAATAAATTAAAAGTATGTACTTTTAAGCTTCTGCCAAGAACAAGTCACCTAAAAGGATCTCACCTTTCCTATCACCTTTCACACCTATCTACCCTTTCCTAATTTTTCCTCCACCAGCACTGAAACCAGCCGCCCCAACCCGCCAGCCTGAAATCATTGTAGCCAGACGAACTAGCCGACGCCATCAAATCAGCTGAGAACCCGCAGCTGCCCTGCCTCCCCCTTCCTCCTTTCAACCCAGGCCCTCAAACAGACCCGATCTCCTCCTGTTCACATGATAATTCTTTATTAAAAAAAAAAACTTGGGTTCACATGAAAATTTAGGTCCATGGATTGCCGTCCCTGACACGGAGGTCACCCCGAGTCTTGTATTGGGATTTAGTTTTTCTGTCTATTTGAACTGAAGTTTGGTGGCTCGTCGGGGACCCAGTTTTCCGCCGTGTCATTTTCATGGAGGAAATAGAGAGAGAGAGAGAGAGAAGATTTTTCACGTTTTTGGGTTGAAAATCTTTTCCAAGAGAGAGAGATTACATGTATCAAATGAAAAACATGGTTTGTTTTCATTTTTAAAAAAAATAAAAAGCCTTCATGATATGATGTAAGAAACCTCAATTCACCTTGAGGATTGCATAGGGGCAATCATTCTTGCGGTGACTATCTTCAGTGGATCACAAATTATTCCCGTGGGACTGCTCCTGCCTACAGCTTTAATATCTTTTAGTAAATTTTTAAAGTATTTTTATTTAAAAATATATTAAACTAATTTTTTTTTATTTTTAAAAATTTATTATTAACATTAATATATCAAAATAATTTATTTTTTAAAAAAATAAATAAATATTTTAAAAAATACAAAAACAAACTAACTATATAAATACAATGATTATGATAGCACCATTAAATATGGATTACGGTATCATCTTGAGAAGAACGTGAGGAAGATGCGGCAAATTAGGCACTGTTTAATTGCTTTGATACTTCTTGAGATTTTTTTTCTGCAACCAATCATTTGACATTATTTGATTGTTCAAGAAAAAAAAAGATTGTGTCTAGCTAGCATATAGCCACGATTCATAATCTTATTGCTTGCCGGAATTTCTTAAATTACACAAAGAAATTGTCTATTCTTTTATAAAAATAATATGTTAGTTGAGATATAAATCATGACATTCTAGATTTAAATTTAATTTTTTTAAAAATAATGTTAAATAATAAAATTTTAAAAAATTACCAAAATAAAAAGTAACAATTAGAAAATTATATATCAAATTTAATAGGAAAACGAAGCCAGAGATAACGAAATTATAAAATAAAATTAATTTTAAAAATTATCTCAAGTAAAATAAGTAATAAAAAAATAAAAAAATAAAATTAAAAAGAAAAATAAAATTAAAAAAGTTAAAATTGAAAACGAATGTTAATTTTATAAATTATTCAAAATAAAATAAATAATAATTAGAAAAACACAAACAAAATTAAAGAGTCATTTTAAAATTTTAAAGAGCAACACAAAAATTAAAGATAAAAGAAAAACTAAAAAGAAATAAAGTTATTGGAGCAAAATCTAGTAGTCTTTAACAACACATCATCTCTCATCATAGTATGGGTGGTAGGACGATTTAAATGTTGTTATAGAATACAATATTTCACCACTGAAGGACCTCATTGACTCTACATGTATAAATACAAAAATATATTTTTTTATTAAAGTTATAGAAAATTAAAATTTTAAAAACATCCTAATCATTTTAGTATTTTTCATAAAAAAGGATAAAAACACTCATAAATCAAGCTTTATTTTTTTTAATCTAGAGATTCAATGGTTTTTTTTTGTACATGATAAAATTAAAAAGACATGGTTTCCCCTTTAAATTTAACAATGACAGATGGAGTATTATAAATTCTCTTAATTATCCTTAATAACAAGTTTTTTGGTTTTATTTCTAAGGGCGAAATGTGTACCTCACCCTAAAACTCAAATAAAGACATCCATTTTCTTCACATTTTCGTTCGGATTCCTTGTCTTTTATTCTTGTTCTTTAACAAATTAGCTTAAATTGACATACAATTTCATCCTATAATTTTCTCTGTGTTCTTGGTATTTTGTAAAGAAATTATAGTGTATTTTATATTGCAAATCCTTTATATTTTCCAGGTCTTGTTTATTTATAAGAAAATATTTTTTTAAAAAAATAGTTTTATGTTTTCACTTTCTAAAGGCAAAATGTATATTTCACCCTAAAACTTGATGTTTTTATTTTAATTTTATTTTTTTTAATTTTATTCTTTAACAAGTGATCTTAAACTAGTCTTCAATTTAATCCTATAATTTCCTCGTGGTTGGTTATTGGTGTTTTGTAAGGAAATTCATAGTACATCTTATATTGTAAATCCCCCATATCTTTTTAGTGTTTCACTTAGTACTTGCTTGATGTTATATTAGCTATTGCTTTTTAAATTGTTTTAGTTTATAAATATATTAAATAATTTTTTATTTTTTAAAATTTATTTTTAATATTAATATACTAAAATGATTGAAAATATAAAAAAATAATATAAAATAAAAAAATTATTTTTTAAAATACTTTTACAGCAAAATAACAAATTCATGATAATTTCCCTAATCTCATAGTTGGAATTATCATTTCGCATTCTCTTGCATACAAATCTTCAGAGCTGAGAAGAGTGCTGCCTTTTTTGCTCCCGCTTACCTGGAGAGGCTTCTCCCACAAATTAACGCACAGGGCAAGTTTGGAAAGACTCCTGTGTAAAATTATTGTGACTGAGATTAATATTTATTTATTTTTTAAATGTAATTTTTTAAAAACAAGTAAATATAATCTCTATCACATAATATCTATTTGTTTCTAGGATTTAAAATTCAAAATAACTTTTAATAAAGTTTAATAAAATTGCACTTGCTATATTTTTTTAAGTAAGTCAAAGATGCAATATATGACTTTTAAATTATGCTATTTTTTCAATTATTTCTCCAACTATATTATTTTCCCAATATTTTACTTTGAAAGATAAAAATCATTTCGTCCGTCTCCATTTTAGAATATTTAAATTTACCATTGCTTTTCTACCTCGTCCCCATCAAAACAACGCTATTTTCTCCCTCGTCCCCATCAAAACAAGGCTAGTGAAGAAAGTCCTCCTAGCCATTCGGCACTTGACTTCATCTCTTTTTATTTTTAAAAATAAAATATAATATTAAAAAACAAAGTATATCTTCATCCATATGAATCATAAAACTATAAAATAAAGTTTAAACTTAAAAACTATACATAAAATTATAAAAATCTTTCATGAAGGATAAAATTATAACTCTGTAAAATAAAATAAAAATATTAAAATACATTAATTTATCATGTCAAAAAATCATTTTAATTTAAGAGTTTAAACTCTTACGTGAGGTTCTATGATATAATTTATATTATTTTTTAATATACCTTTTCAAATGAAAATCTCTTGAATTTGAAACTTGTATAAACTTACATTATCTTATCTTTAATTTTTATCAGTAAATGAGGATGGAGACATTCGAACTTGTGACCGTTTGATCATCAAAGCACTAATACCACGTTAAAGATATATCTCAATTCAATAGTTTAAGCTCTTAAATAAAATTAAAGAATATAATTTATATTATTCTTTAATATATCATTTATCTTTATATTTATTTTTTATTGAATCAGATCGTATAATATTGGACTCTCTATAAACCTTATAAAATTACCATCTTATTCCTGATTGGATTTAAAGCATTGAGATTGAGTCTGCATACACGATAGTCTCGCCGATGATAGTTTCTTCAGGTCTGGATTTGTAAATTGATGAGAATTTTCATAGTTTAAACTCTGGCAGTAAAGCATGCAAGTTAACCCATCAAGTAGAAATCTAATCACAGGTTGTTCATGACAGTGACTTCAAGGTCCTTACCATTGCAATTTCTGATGGCATCGAGTGATTTTATCAACTGAAGTGGTTTTTTTGCTTAATTTTATGCTATGCTAGTCAAACAGCACAGCATGATTTTGAAGTTTTGTTTACCATTTGAAAACTTCGACAATTTGTTGAAATTTTAGTTTTGCTAACGAATGATTTGAATTCTGGTGACAGGATACTGACGTTATGTGGCTCAGGAATCCATTTTCAAGGCTAGGCATTTATAACGAAAGTGTGGACCTGCAGATCAGCACCGATTGGTTTAATGGCGACCCACGCTCAGAAAAAAATGCCATCAACACCGGGTTCTACTACATCAGGTCAAACAATAAGACCATCTCATTGTTTGATGCATGGTATGGCAGAAAAGACAATTCCACAGGCAAGAAAGAGCAAGATGTGTTCTTTGACCTAATGACGGAGGGCATGTTTGGGCAACTGGGCCTTCAGGCAAGGTTCTTGGACACCGTCTACTTCAGTGGGTTTTGCACAGATAGCAAGGATATCAAGGCGGTGATCACTGTCCATGCCAATTGTTGTCGGAGTATAAAGGCCAAGGTTAAGGATTTAACTGCTGTTCTTCGTGATTGGAAGAAGTTCAAGGCAACAAGTGTTAAAGCAGCTGCAGCTCGTAGTAATATAACTGTGCCTTTCAGGTGGACAGGACATTTTGGATGTTGGGATTCTTGGAAAACTAAAGTTTAGTTTCAGGTTCCTTCTGCTTTTCATTGGAGGAAAACACAAACACAAACACAAACACAAACACAAAAACAAAAGGCCAAAGTCTATTGTAGATCTTTAATGAACTATAACCCCGTCTTTGTACTATGATATAATTAGTTAATTAATTAATTAATCATCATTTTTAAAATATCAATTTGTACTTTAATATCAATTTTATATTAATTTTCTATTTATTTTAAATAACCATCGATGATGCAATATTGGATAGAGCACGTGACAATGGCATGTTTTTACACCCCTTAACTATACAATTTATGCTTTTCCTGTCCTTTATCAAGCACATAACATAATTAGCTAATTATATTTTTTATGACATATTATTAAATCAATATATTTTACTGAAAAAGTTATTTTTTATTATAAAAATTACCTTAAAAGTACTACAAACACTACAATCATGATTCAACTGAAATCTAGTAGAAACTCAGGTCTTATCCTTGTCTGCAATCCTTGATCTAACACATAAACTTTCAAAGTGAATACAAATAATATCACAGGGGATGATAATCTAACTTAACTTGATTTATTATCATCCTTACCAATCAACAAATAATTATCAAAAGATAATTATGAATTCATTATGTGAATAAATTTTTGTTTTTATTTTTAATTATTTATTGTATATTATTATGAACAAAATATCGGGATTTTTTATGAATCGAAAAGAGAAAAACATGAACAAGTAAAAGAAAAGAGATGAAAAAAGAGGCATTCAATTAGGTATTCAAGGTTAGGAATCAAAGTGTAACGTTTCTAAATCCTTAGGGACTAAAAGAAACGTTTATCCTTTTTAAAGAAACACATAAGTTCAATCCAATTACATATCTCCACGTGCCGCACATTAAACACCCGCACGAGCACCAAACTCCGCTTCAACACTTTATCATTCACATATAAATTAAGACCTAGGGTTTTCAAAATCCCCAATTTTGTTCTCCCGTTGCCTTTGGATTTGGGGTTTTTATCTTCGAAATTCGTGAATTTTTGGCTATTTTGGAGATCATCTGGGTTTTTTAACGGAAATCTGGGTATTTATATTAGTCCATCTATAAACAATGCCTCCACGGGCGGTAAAGAGAGGAGCGGCGGCGGCAGCTGGGAAGAAGAGAACGTTGAGGAAGGGGCCGAGTCAGCAACATCGGGAAGTGGCGGAGGATATGTTGAATTTGGAGGTGAAACCGACGGCGGTTGATGAGAAGCCCGTGGTCGTGGAGGAGGAGAAGAGCGTGTTTGTTGAAGATAAGTTAGTTATTGATGAGAAGAAAGATAGAGAAGGTGAGATTGAAGCGAATTTGGTCGCCAATGAACCGACTTCTTTGAAAAGTAAGTGTTTTTGTTTCTGATTGTTTTTGTTTGGTTTGGATCTAGTGAAATATAAGTTTGTTGTGTGTTTGGCTGTGTATTTGTTTCTTAGAATTTGTGAAAATTTGTGTCCTTTCCAGAATCTAATTGGATTTGAGGTCTTAATCGAGTGCTTGCTTTGTTGAAATTTGTTAAAATCTCTCTTTTTAGTGTAACGATTCTTAATTTGATTAAGATGGGGATTTATTGGTATCTTTGTTTGATAATAATTGTTTAGATTTTCTGGTAATAAAACGTTTGGGTTGATTGTTTATCAATTTTATGTTATGTATTCTATTATCATTAAAACCGAACAAAATAGACATGAAAATCTATATTGCTTCATTTTTTTTTTTGCTGCTTTAGTCAGAATTGGTGTTATTTATATTTAGTGGTGTTTGTCAAATTTGAAGTTAAAAATTATTTAGGTTACAAAAGGAAGTAACCAAGTTCCTCAGGGTATTAATTTGTTGAGAGAGTATCTAACCATGGAAGGATTCAGGGTTATACGGAATATTTCTTAATAAAGTGGGTTATATTTTTGTTTGAGGATAGTGGAGGATTTGAGTGTTTCATGGCTGGTCTGGATCACGTACCTTTTTTTGTTATGGCAGAAGAAGAAGAGGGCAAGGAATCTGTAGATGAGTATGAAAAAGATGAGAGGTTAGATTTTGATGATAATGAGCCTGAATATGATCCTGAAGAATATGGTGGGGGGGATTATGATGATAAGGAAATTGAACAGGAGGATGTTCAGGAGGTGGAAGATGAAGTGGAGGAAGAACATGAGGAGGAGAATGTTGGTGAAGAGGAACAAGGTGATTTAGTAGAGGAGGAATTGGAAGAGGATCCTGAAGAACATGAGGGTGAAGAGGATGATGAGCATGCTGGTGAGGAGGTAGAGCATGCTGAAATGGCTGATGTGGAGGAAGAGGACGAGCATCATGAAGTGTTCAAGGAGAGGCGTAAGCGGAAGGAGTTTGAAGTATTTGTTGGGGGTTTAGACAAGGATGCTACTGAGGATGATCTTCGGAAAATATTCAGCCGTGTTGGTGAGGTTACTGAAGTCAGGCTGATGATGAACCCCCAGACTAAGAAAAACAAAGGGTTTGCATTCTTACGCTTTGCAACTGTTGAACAGGCAAAACGAGCTGTGACAGAACTCAAAAACCCAGTGGTAACTTTTTGTTCATGTGAAATTTTGGAATATCTAGTAAGTTCGCATCACTACTTACATATGTAATTTAATGACTGAATTCCAGATCAATGGGAAACAATGCGGTGTTACTCCAAGTCAGGACAGTGACACCCTTTTTCTGGGTAACATTTGCAAGACATGGACTAAGGAAGCTGTAAGTATATAGCGTCACTGTCAAGCATCAAGTTTTCCTCAGCAGTGATTATTGAGAGTTGTCATTTTCCTCACACTTTTGGTTGTTGACTGTGGTTCCAGTTGAAAGAGAAGTTGAAACATTATGGAGTTGAGAATGTTAAGGATTTGACCCTGGTAGAAGATAGCAACAATGCGGGAATGAACCGGGGATTTGCGTTTCTTGAATTTTCTTCTCGTTCGGATGCCATGGATGCTTTTAAGCGTCTTCAGAAGAGAGATGTTTTATTTGGAGTTGATAGGCCTGCAAAGGTGTCTTTTGCAGATTCCTTCATTGACCCTGGTGATGAAATCATGGCACAGGTAAAAATTTACTTAACTGCAATGCTAAACTGTAGATTTCACCTGTGGCTGTGTCAGCTGTATGTAATTCTCTGTATGCCACAGCATATGGTGCTGTCCATCTTGGGTGGTAGTAACTGCATTCATTTGTAGCCTTTGCGCTAAGCGAGGAAGGATTGATGTGCGCCAAGGGCAAGTTTGTACTTAATGCCACCTATGATGGATTGAGCAGTGGATCATACTTCTCTTGATATCTACATGAGATTTGTTTTATACAGTACAGTGTGATGTATCTATGCAATTTTAGTCTGTCCTCGGTGAAGATCAACGGGGTTCATGCAGGGTGGTCTTTTGCATTCTTCTTTTTAGTTTTATATTCTGATCCTATCTGACTGTGTTTGTATTTGATGCCCTTTTGGCTGCCACAGTTACTGTGGCAGCGAGAGAAAATGAGGCACAAGAGTGCTTAGGTGCTTACATGGTGGTGTACATGTACACATAATGTATTGTTTTAACTTTAGAATGGTTCAACTAACTTTATTGTCTAAGTTCAGGTGAAGACTGTGTTTATTGATGGCCTGCCTGCCTCATGGGATGAGGATCGTGTTCGGGTACTTTTGAAGAAATATGGAGAGATCGAAAAGATTGAGCTTGCACGGAATATGCCATCTGCCAGGAGAAAGGATTTTGGTTTTGTTACCTTCGATACTCATGACGCTGCAGTGACATGTGCTAAAAGTATAAACAATGCAGAGTTGGGTGAAGGAGACAACAAGGTTTGTCAGTTATTTGGAGGAAATTATGATTGTATTGTATTACTGTGTCATTGCCTTCATATGGTTTGACTTGGTTGCAAATTGCTTTTTATAATCGTGTTGCTTTCACAATTCAGGCTAAAGTTAGGGCCCGCTTATCAAGACCCCTTCAGAGGGGAAAAGGAAAGCATCTAAGTCGTGGAGATTTCCGACCTGGGTATGGAGCTAGTAGAGTTGTCAAGGGTCCATGGGTTCGTCCTATGCCGCATAGCTACTCTACTCGTCCAGTCAGAGGAATTGCAAATCGTGCTCCACCTTTCAGTCTAAAGAGTTCTACAGGATTGAGAGAGAGACGTCCTCCCGTGATGTCCATGCCAGCAAGAAGCAGACCTCTGGCTCCGCCTTCTAGGTCCTTTGAGAGAAGACCACCTCGTATGCTTCAATTTTACTATTACACTGGCTGGTTTCTCTTACTGGATGTATTAATGCTTAAGTGTTACCTCTTGTTTTGCTCTTTTGAAAGCTCCATCTTATGCAAAGAGCTTGAAGAGGGAATATGGTCGGCGTGATGAGCCTCCTCCTTCAAGGAGCAGACCTGCTGTAGATTATGATCCTAGGTCTATCCCTGAGAGACGCCCATCTTATAGAGATGAATATTCTTCTCGTGGTACCAGCTATGCTGATCTTCCCAGAAGTACATCTCGCATGTCTGCAAGGAGAGCTTATGCCGATGATGGCTATAGTCAAAGGTATGAGAGGCCTCCTCCAAGTTACCGTGAAGGGCATGGCCGTGATTATGATTCTGTTGCTGGTTCAAAACGTCCATATCCGGCTATGGTAAGTTTCAATGTTGACTTTATGCTTGATGATGATGCAACATTTCTATCCTCTATCCCATTTATCATCAAATCTAAGTAATAATGAAAGTGTTATTGATGTGTTATACAATTCAAGGATGATATTCCTCCTCGTTATGCTGATGCTGGTGTGCGCCATTCGAGGCCTCGTTTGGACTATGAACTTGGTTCTAGTGCTTCTCAATATGGGGATGCATATGGTGATAGGTTTGTTATATTCCTTTTTTTCATTGTTGCTATGAAATATCCCTGCATTATTGTGGTAACTTGTCCTTTCCTATTGTGATTGGTAGACTTGGGAGATCTGCTGCTGGATATGGGGGCAGCAGAAGTTCTATTTCCAGTCAGGATTCACACGGGATGTATAGTAGCCGTCAGGGCATGGGTTATGGAGGTGTGTTTTTAGTTGCTAATAAATTAATATGAATAGCATGTTATCATTGAAATTTTAGTACTATACATAGTGATTATACTCCAATATGAAATTATTATCAGGTTCTTATGGAGGCAATGATGGTGGAATGTACTCATCAAGCTATGGCGGTGATTACATGTCTCGTAGTGGTGATGTATGCCCTTCACCCTTTCTCAACATAAAGAATGCTGACTTTAGTATTTTATGTATCTAACACTTTTTTTCTGCACTTCAATGGCAGGTTGGTGGTAGCTCTTACTCGTCAATGTACTCCAGTCGTGGAGGCATGGGCAGCAGCAGCAGCTACATGGGTACTGGTAGCTCAGGATCATACTATTAGTGTGAGTAGAACTGCTCCTTTTATGTCATTTCATTTTATGAAGCACCCAAGGAATTATATAACCACTGTGTCTTCATGTTTTTCCTGGAGATAATGGTTTCTGAAGATATTGGCTTGTTATTGATTGCTAAGAGACATAGTTGGTCAAAAAAATAGCCTATGGTCACGAGTTATTTCTTTATGGAACAGATTTGAGATGACAAAGAGGCTGCTATAGTGCTTACATGCTTACAGTTTTGGCGGATGTTGTCAAGTGTAATAGGCCTCTATAGTGGTGGAAAAGGATGAGCTTAAAGTTCTGTAGAATGAAAAGGTCTGCTTTTGTTCAAGTTTTTTTAGATCTGCAGACTGGATATTTATCAAGTCTCAAGTCCAAGCTGTAAGGAAACTCCACCTGTTTAGGAATGGAAATAAGAATGCTTTGGTATGATATGTATGAATTTGACCTTTTATTCTCTTTAAGTTCTCCATCTCATGGATATTGGGAGTTTTTGCTGCATCTTCTACTTTAGTGGACAGCCTAAGAGACTGATGACTTATGTGGGAATGGCAAGGAATTTGGCCCTTTTCCTATGTTAAATTCATTGGAAAAGCTTTGAAATAAGACTTGGAAGGCATTTAGTTGTGTTTGTACCATGCCACAGCCATATGTTTCGCTTAATGGGCATAAGCAGCATCTAAATGAAACTAATGCAATACATTAAACTAGCATAATCACAAAGCAAACGTTTTTGGAACTGTGGTGCCTCAAGCTATTTATGGATCTCTAACTAATGGTCTAGCTCTATTACTGGTGGCTGCGGTCATTGCCAAATGTACATGGTTTACATCAGGGTCGTTTCATTGCACGCCGCTTTACAAAAAGGACTAATGTCCCCATTGTCCTGATGGCCGGCACCCCTATATGATATGTTTTTACTTTGGAAGTGTTTCTAAGATGCAATGGAAAGCTGAACGTATTATCAAGAGTGTGTGGACTTTGTGAAACATCTTTGTTTGACGTGTTGTGTAAAAACTGGGCTTTGTGTTTCTTGCATTTAGTTTTGCTTTGTCAAGCATTGGAATATGTTATACATGGAGTATGTTTGGCAACAAGATGGTTTGTTTATGATAGAAGCTTTTTCTGTCACCAGCAGTAAAATCATAATGCTGCAACTGACAGACATTTGCTATTTTATTTTCACTGTCTTTGCTTGATAAAAAACCACCTGTTGCTGGGCTCTTCTGGTTTATTAAAGTTAATATAGGTTTGACACCAACTGCCTGATTTGGTGGTGAAAGAAAGGAAATTTGATTCACAAGTGCTTGGTGCTTTTGTGGGATAGTTGTGGTTTAGGTCCTTGCAAGCGGATTTCATTTCTCAGAAACCAGTACAGCTCAACAATACTTGGTTGGAGTTTCTTTTGAATTTAATCGATGTTCAGTTTACTATGTTGGGTAATGCTTTGGTAGTTGAAATGAGAGGGGTAGCTGTTTCGGTAGGTTATGGTGGAATTCATCTTGCTGAATAGATAAGGTCTTTTGGACAGGCTTGAGTTTTCATCACCCTTGAGATTGCATTTTGCTGTTTTGTAAAGCAGGTGAATAACCGAGATAAAAGAAGCCTACTCAGCATGAAAAACCAGATTTACTTGTTTACTTTTCTTGAGGATGCCTGTTGCAGCCCTTCTGAGATCTTCAGTGTCAATTCCTTGTTGTGATATTGGCTCGAAGATAAGTGTTACATATGTATATGCAGAGTGAAAGATCTCTCATCAGGATAGTATAGATTCCAAAAGGAAATAAGATTCCTGTGGTGAGGAGGCTGTCCATGAGGATGATTTTAATTTTTCATGTACGTCATGTGTGGTGGCCCTTCTGAGGGGTCGGGTATTTTTCTTTTCATCTAGCAACGATCTTGGATGGTAGGTTATTTGCTTGTTTTGTAGAACTGGTGTCGGGGTTTGCCTTTATAATTGGAGTCTCTCTGGGTTGCGCTATTTTCATTTGAAGCAATTTTGAGCAACTCTTCTCTTGTGCCAACAGAAACCAAGTTTCAATCTTCGTTATGAATCAAATGTAAGTTCTTTGCTCTTCGTCTGAATTTTTAGGGTTTCCCTGTAAATCGGTTTGATTCCATTCTGATGTTGTTTTGGATAAACAAGCTCTCTGGCATTACCTCATTTCATGCATTGGTTGACACTTGTTTTGCTACTAGTAAGATACCTGAGGAATGTATTGTAGAAACCTCTTGAACTTTTTTTTTATATCATCGGCTTTATAATATGGTAGTTTGCATCTAGTGACTGCCGATGTTTCAAAACATGTCTTGTGGCTCTAGTCTCGCTGTGCTCCCGCTTGCTCAAACAGTGTCTAAGGGAGAATTGATCGTGTTGTTGAAACGTTTCAACTTGGATCGGAAGCTGGCATACCAGCTCATTACAGATTTCATGCTGGCTTTTACTCGAATTTATTTCTTCATCGTTTCACGCCAGAAAAAAAAAGCACTAAAAACAGATAAAAAGTAGCCAACCGTACAGCTGCCGGCCGCTTTTCCAAGCCTCGGCCTATGATTTGCTTCCACCACAAATAACGATTCTTTGCTGGTGAATGATTCACGATTAAAATTAAATGGATGATTTAGCTCAATAGAGAGTGCTAAGCATCCCCCCCGCCCCGAACATCTATTCTCCGATGAAGGTATTTCAATGTTAATTTAATCTTTAATTTATTTATTTTTGGACGAATTCTCTACATCTACGAAGAATGAGATTCTCAAGTGATTACTGGGTTTCGAATTCAATTAGTCAACAGGGTAAATTTTCTTAGCTAGTTATTTGTCCCTTAAGATTGCATGCTAGTTGGTGAACAATTAAGAGGTTTCTAAAAGCACGAACTATCGTAGCTTCTACGTGATATTGAATTAATACTGCATCTCGTTTCAGCCGAAATAAATATTAAAATCCAGTCATATGGAGCGTAGGCGCGTGCTGGCCAAAGACAACTGGTGCATAGTTCACTCTCATTATTATTAGTGATATTAATTTTTTTTCATTGAGATGGTGTTGTAATTAAAATTTTGAGGTGTTTTGAGATTAAATTTTATTAATTTTTTTCTCTTTCCTTGTTTTAATTGTTCACTTATTTTTTAGTGGTGTATGTTTTCCTTTGATTACTTTGGTGCTAGTATATTTATCTTATAGAATTTTTTTTAAAGGTATTAAGATTGTTATTTTCGGAGTTTTGGTATGTTTATAAAATTTTATTATTTTTTCCTTTTTTTATCTGTTTTCTTCTTGAAATTTGTCACTTTGTTTTACAATTTTTTTAGAACCAACTCTTACGAAGTTTTTATTTTTAACCGTGACATAAATTAGACTATGTTATTTTGACTTTTTTAAATTAACACTTTTTAAAAAAAAAATTAGCAAAATAACAGTGTGGTAAATGTGATAAGAAAAAGCAACATGCAATGTTATTATTAGTGAGGAATGTGACATTTCAAAACTATTGTTAAATGGATTGCTCAAAATATAATGAGAGGAGAGGACAATGAAAAACAAAGAAGAAAAAAATAAATCTCAAAAGCATACTGAAATTCTGGTTATTATACTAGTGATACTATTAAAAAAGATCATTGATGAGATGAGTTTAACAACAATAAGAAAGGTTATCAATGGTTATCACGATGGACCATGTTTTTCGTTCAAAGGTAAGTAAGTAATTACAATTAGGAGATTTAAGAAAGAAAAAAAAAGAAATAAATACATAGAGAAAGAAAAAGATTTTAAAGACACGTCAAAGTTTTAATTATGACACCACCAGTACTAGAGAAAAAATTTCAATAAAAAAAACTTAATGATATCAATAAAGATCATTAATGATAACCGAAATGAATTAGATGTGATATATGATTCACTTGTCTTTGAATGTAAAGCATGATTCATTACAAATCATTGTTGATTATCTTTACTAGTGTATGTTGATTATTTTTATTGGTGTCAGTAGATTTATCTTGTTAAGATTATTTTAATTTTATCGATAATATTATAATAAGATATTTGATGTGTCTTCAACGTCTATATTTCTTTTCTTTTATTAGTTTTTTTTTTATTGTAATTGTTTAATTGTTTTTGAATGAAGAATGCAATCTATTTTTACTTATTTTTCTTGGTTTCTATTTTTACTAGTTATTTTTCTTGGATTTGTCTTGAGATTATTTTTATGATATCATTGAACTTTGTTATTCTTGCAAGTTGTTTTCTTTTCCTCATTATAATTCATGCAATCCATTTAACAATTTCTTTTAAAAGTTTGTTTTCCGTATCCTACAATTTTAAACGTCGCATTTCATTTTTTAATAATTCTAATAATGATACGTACCAAATTGTATTATTTTATTATTATTTTACTAAGTTCTCTTTAAAACAGTGCTAACAAACAAAAATAGTAGCTATTTTGCCAGATCCTCATTTATTTCAAAAACCTTTTTAAATACGTGTTAAAAAAAAATACCAGAGATTTTCATGCCATGAACATTTTTAATAGAAAATTCTCTCTTTCTTTCTTTAAGGGTAAACGTGTCCACAGCAAGCAAGCGTCTCGTTCGATTTGCGCTCCAAACTTCCCTGACAATCTCACGACAAGACAACGAGAAAAAACAGAGTCCTCTGTTTCCATTCTCACCAAATTCCAATAAATCAAGAAACTAATCACGAATCAAATTTAACCGAAACCCCATCCGGGTCTCTTTAAAAATTTAAATGGGTCGCAAGCAAACCTATCAAGGAATCAGTCGTTATGGATTTCCGGTTCTTTTCTCGATGGGTACAATCTCCTGTTGCATGGTCTACCTATGTTTCTCAGCACTGTTTAGACCACCTATTAGTAGTATAGAGTTTTTGGACTCAAGAGTTAGCGATGATTTGAAGCGTGAAGATAGAAATGGAGATTGTTGTAGGGGGATTGAAGATTTGGAGCTGTGGGGTGATGCTGTTAAATGGGGTTCTGAATTTAAAGTCAATTCTTCTAAAGATTGTTGCTTGGCTTGTAAAGGAATGTGCAGTGATGATAGTGGGCCTTGTTTGTGTGATTCTTGGGTGTTTTGTGGAGATAAACTGGCTTGTGGTGATCAATTTGGCGAGGTATGGTCCTTTCCAATTTCATTTTGAGTTTCAAGTTATAGTATTTTTAATGAATTTGTTGTTGATTTCTCTGTCTTTTTTTTTTTTTGTAATTAGAATGAAATGCTGATTCATTTCTGCAATTTTATGATATTTTGCCATCAAAGTAAATTTTAAACACTAGCAGACATCGCCTCTTGTGTGCTAGGCAGAATTTTAAATGAACAGAAAAGCCATGCAGAAAGCGACTTGGTCTGATTGAGAATGGGTTAAAAATGTTTTTTTTTGGTATAATTTGTGTTTAGAGTCGTGTGCATGTGCATGATTCTGAGACATTTTTTTCCTTTTCTTGCTTTTAGTGTTGGCTGAAGAAACAGAAGGATACCTTGGAGCCTGAAAAGCGAGACTCAGGAGATCATGTTATGTGGACTTCTGGAGTTGTTTTTGGGAGAGGAGAGGTACATTACTTAGTGAACGTCTTATGGATGTTGCAATGTTCTCCTAGCTTCAGGTTGAGTACAGTAGCACCTAACACCGATGAGTGTGCATTTTCACAGTTGTCCAAAGGCAACAGCTAAGTACACATCGTGTATTAAAAAATAAAGTGGAAAACGTTGACGATCAATATTCTCAGATATGACAGTAGCTGGATTTGAATGGCAACTCCTTTTGTTTTATTTCTGAAAGTGTAGGAGGATCAAATTATCATCCATGTTGGTTTCCTGAAGAAAATTCTTTGGGCCTTATTTGATTTTTCGTTGGATAATAATCCACCCATATAACTATTAGTTGGTCACATGAAGGACCTCCATTTCTTCATCATCAACACATGGGTGAAATTCTGAAACATATCTGTTAATTCATGTTTCTAGTTTCCACAGCTGTGAGCATTAACATATCTACCTAGAGTTCTCAGTTGCTGATTTGTTGATCATCTTTCATTTTTCCTTTTGCTTATTAGGGCATTGTTGGATTTGAAACGCAATATGGGACATTTCATGTAAAAGTAAGTGTTCATTGACATTCCTGTATGCCTGACCTTTCCTTATATGGTAGCCGCTGGTATGAGTTTCGAACACAACACTCTTCATGCTTCATAACATATGTTTATGATTCCAACCTGCATGATCCTATGAATAATTCAAACATAAAAAGATATGCTTTTATGTTGTCTACTAAATTAGGTGATCAATCCCTTGCAAGATTTCTTGCAATGGCTTATAAATGTTCTCCATTGTTGTTACAAGTTAGAATGAATGGCAGCATATCCAACATAGGAAATTGAAGTTAGTTATGTAAAAAATGCACAACAGTTATACTGTCTCATTATCTTGTAAAACTCCAGCTGATAACTTCCCTCTAAAGCATTAAGATGGCGAAGACCCTCAGTGTTAGGGCAGCTGATTGCAGTAACACACTTATGGTCACCTGTGTGGTGCTTGCTTTCTATTGCTGTTGATGTTCAATTAGAGTGCATGGTAATGATATATACTGGTTTGAGAAATACTGGATATCTGACCTAACATAAAATGCACCAGGCACGCCTATCTCAAACTTGTGTGGCAGTAGGCTCATCTACACTGCTGGAAGCGGGAGAGATACAGTAAAAAGAACAAAAAAATCACCTATTGTTCTGCATGTTTTCTTTGGGTTTATTGCCATCTAAGTAGCTAGTTGAGTATACTGGAAATCATCAAGTCAACTATCATTTGATGTTTGCACATTGCAGCCTACTAAATGGTGTTTTTTATCTTACTCTAGTATCAGCTCTAACCCAGCTTTATTGTGATGCTATGTGCAGCTATTACCTGATTGTGCCCCACATTCTATTTCGTACATTCTTGAGTTGTTGGCATCACGCCATTGCGTGGGTTGCCACTTTTACCGTGCAGAAAGCAGGGGAAAGTCTTGGGATCCTGAAGGAAATCATATTGAACATGTAAGATTTAAATACCAAGTTTTAAGTAGGCCCGTTGAAGAGCCTTGCTGCCTGCCAATTGATAAAGTTCCATGTTTAGCTTGGGATTTCCATAATTTTTGAAAGATTTACTTAGAACAGGAGTGATCTTGACACAAATTGCGTTGGAGTGCTCTTCTCACACAGTATTCTAACAAACCTCATATAACATAACATGCAGGGTAATGTGTTTTTCCGGATTTTGAATTTTCTAACTATAAATCTCCTCACTTGAGCTGTGCAGGCTCCATATGGCCCTCCATTTGCACTAATTCAAGGGACTCTTGGATCCTATGGGACAGTATTTAAGGATATTCCAACAGAGGCTTGCCCTACCATTAAAAGAGGTTCGGTTGCATGGGTTGATTCTGGTCCAGAATTCTTCGTCAGTTTAGCTAACCACAGTGAGTGGAATAAGGCATATACAGTGTTTGGTTTCGTTCTTCCTGAAGATATGGAGATCATAGAGAGAATTGCACAGCTCCCAGCCAGGCCAGAAGTGTGGAGTAATATTAATGTTGTTGTCTTAGAAAATCCAGTCCCATTGCATGTCCGAAGAATCAAGAGAAGTGTCGGAAACTAAAAACCTTAATACGAAGAGAGGCACCAGCTCAAGCGGGTCTTAGTTTTTAGGTGTTTATTGTCATGCACTTCTTTGATTTAGTTTAGATTTTCACAATCGGACTAAAGGGATGATTTGGACCCAAATTTTTGGTAGCTCCTCGTTGTAGTGGATCTATTTTGTACATTAAACAAAGAAAAAGAAGAAGAATTCAAGAAATGAAGGAAGAAATCTATATTCAACAGTGCTGCAAAACAGTTTTTATGTTATCCCCATCTTGGAACTTCATCCAGAGATAGATGGAGAATCTTTTACTCGTCCCATGAGGGTTGATGGTGGTTTACTTCAGCCTGTTTAAATGCCTGTGGCCCTGTGTTGTTGGCTGCTTGTTCTGTATCTTTAAGACAGCTTTACATGGTTTCATTTCGAGCATTGCTGTTTTGTATTTACACACACCGTTCTTGTTACCATCAGGCGAGAATCATGTTCCAATTCGAACTTAGCCTCTATCCTATTGATATATCACTGTCCGAATCCTAAACTCAAGGTTCTAATACAGCATTCAAAGTTCACACATCGAGTGTGGTTTGACGACGGGCAGGCCAAGTTCATGGTCTTCTTAATAATGAATAAATAACTATTTACTACATGAATTACCAGTAAGGATCCGTGGCGCAATGGTAGCGCGTCTGACTCCAGATCAGAAGGTTGCGTGTTCGATTCACGTCGGGTTCAAATCCCAAGATAGATCCATTCTCTTTTTCTTTCTCTATATATATTATGACAACTAACGACATGCCGTCTGGTGTAAAATCTGAGACATTTGGCTCATTGGCTGCTAGAAGGATTAGTTTTGACAACAGATGTACGAGGGCTCAAAAGCCCACCTACCTCGGTTTTTGAGCTGACAGTGACACTGTGAGCGTCACCTTTTTATGAGTAAGATGCCGTACAAACAAGTTGCATTCCTTCAAATGTACAAGTAACATACTCATCTGGAAAACTGAAACCTCAGTTTCAAAGAAAAAGCAAACAACCCTCTTCAGCTGTGCAAACAAGTCAGGGGAAGCCTCTGCAAATTCAAGGTACGATCCCTTTTGCACATCTAACTTCCGAGTTCTATCCACCAAGTAAAAGTGCACAACTTCTGAAGTGCTTGAAAGGAAAAGTGTAGCGAAAATTCTAAAACTAATCATACAAAAAAGAGTAACCATCTCACAGTCACTTCATGCTAAGGGAATGCCCAATGTTTTGATTCCCTACCTAGCAAATCACTTGGTTCTTCCACCACTTTCGAATATCCATTCAATAAAAACACTACAAACACAAAAACCATATCGAGCATCTTGTACACACGCATCTAATCTCACAAATTTAAGGCTACATTGATCCAAAAGTTAAGTTGAAAAGACTAACAAAGTTCCGCATCTTCCCAAGTTGCTAAATAAACAATCACAAAAAGAGTGGATTAACAGTGATCTAAACATGAAGATTCAACCCTTGATTTTGCTCATCTCCGTCTATTCGTCCAGAGATAAATGAAATCTGACCGAACCACTCCATTCCTTACCACAAACAATAGTCAAACACTAGCAACAAAAACAAGACAGTCGCATTCACCCGCCTATGACTCAGGTGAGGGCATTCTCTTAGGCCTCTTCTTCTTCTCTAATAAAGCTTTAGCAAAAGCTTCAACAATCCTCTGTTGCGAATCCAGAATCATCTCCGTTCGCTTCATCTCCATTTCCATCCTCATTGTCTCCATGTCTCTAGCCATTTCCATCTTCATTTGCTCCATTCTAACAAACCCATCTCCCAATACCTTTACCGCTGCAACCAACTCCTCCATCGGCTCCCTTTCCCTTTTCTTCGCCAATTCCTCACTCCCCCTCGTAACCCTACTACTAGTCCCCACCCCACCTCCATATTTAGGCTTCGGGTAGGGGTCTGGGCTCGCATTAACACCCATATTAGGACTTCCACCATGTTTCTGCTCTGTTTTGGCATAAAATTTAGGTCCCGGCTGCGCTATGCTAACTCCTGTCGGTATTCTAATTCGAAATCCACCAGCATTACCCGAACCCAAACTAGAATTTCCGCCACTCAAGACATTATTATCGCCACCATTCCCCGGATTCCCAATCCCATTTCCATAAAGCTTTTGAATACTTCGCGTATTCATAAAATTTTTAGCATTCCTACAATTCTCTAAATTAGATCCACGAATATCACCATCATCCTCGTTATCATCGCCTTCGCTTTCTGAATTATAATCAGCCTTAGCTTGAGGCCCCTTTTCCATCGCATCCATTCTCTTAAAATGGACCCAAGATGACGTAAACCTCGAGACCGGCATGGATCGAGCCCTTTGGATCTCGGTCCGGTACCGTTTCCGGAGCTTTTCCATCTTGTGGCGGCACTGCACAGCTGTTTTTGGTGGCGAAGCATCTGGACAACGGCGAGCTACAGCATCAGCTACTTCTTGCCAGTGGTTCGCTTTGAGATTACCGCGGCGGAGCGTGTACCATTTGTCCCGGTAAGCGTCGATTAAGGCCACGGTTTCATCTGGGGTCCAACATGGTGGAGGCAGACGCCGTGGGTTGGTGGATGGATGCGTTGGCGGTGCAGGGAGAGTTTGTTGAGCGGTTGTTTGAAGGGGGGTCAGATCTTGTGGTGATGATGGCGATCCGGTTTTGATTGGCGCGGACATGGGTGCTGGTGTAGATTAGGGGCTTTCGTGGTGAAAGTCGGCGCACGTTAGCAAAGGAAGGATTTTGAGGGCGAATAGTGGGGAAGATTAGAGAGAAAATGGAATAGTGGGTTTGTTGTGTTTGTCGTGGAGGGGGCAGATTAGAGAGAAAACTGGGTGTGGTGGTTCTGGTGGTGGTGGCGACGGATAAGAAAGAAAAGAGAGGTGGCGAACGTTAAGGGGGATACTTGAGGTTGAAAAGGGTGGGAGGATAAGAGAGAAAAAGGAAAGCGGTCGTGGTTGTTGTTGTGGATGTGGTGGTGGAAGGGGGAAATTGGGGTTTGGTGGCATATTGAATAAGGGAAGTAGGGTGGGGGGAGGGAGGGGTGTGCGGATGAGGCCACCGCTTGGGTGAGTGAGTGGGCGGGGAGGGAAGGGCTAACGTGCGCACCCTTAGTCTAGGGACAAAAGAGAGGTCCACTTCCTGATTTTTTGGCCATGATGGTGGCTGTGATGATCATAGATGATTAAGATAATCATCATCATCAACTATTAGGGGAATAGTGGTAAGTGGTAACCCACCGTCTAGGGTGGTGGGTGGTTCAATGACTTGGGAGGCTATTTGGGCTGGCATTGTTAACGAGCAGCAGTCACTTTTTAGTGGTTTTTTTTTGTGGATTGTGGTCTACTGTTTGACTGAGGAGGCTGGTGCGGGGACAAGAGGTGGTGTTTACTATTAGTGGCCAGCTTTTGTGGTTTTATCGGAGAGATAATAGCAACTTCTTTTTTTTCCCTTTCCGAAAAGAATCCGATTCCGGGATTCTTTCTTCCTTTTCTTTCCCTTTTTTCGGTGGAGGTGATCTGCTTATTTTTAGTTGTTTGAATTCTAATTTTGGAAATTGGTTTAGGCTTAGCCTTCCTTTCTAGGGCAAGCGCCATTGCGCATGGCCATAGCCAATTGACAATAAATCTACCATCAATTCCAAATAATTATCAGTTTTTTTCTTTTAATTTTAATATTTTATATAGTTTTTAGTTATTTTCTGGAGATATAGATAATAAAGATAAAAAAAGCATATCCCTTGCATTTTCTATTTTAAAATAACATAATTTATTCAAAATTATTACAATATATATATATATATATATATATATATAATCAAACACGTTTTTGTTGTTATAAAATATATTAACAAAATCTTGGCTCTAAATTTCAAATTTTTTTGTTGGTTCTAATTTTGAACAAAATTAAGCATGTGATAGATTAATCTCTCTCTCTTTTTTTTCTTAAAACGATAATAGGAAGCCTTTAACCAAATGTATACTTCATTGGTGCTAGCTCTAGGTGTCATTAAATAATGAGGATACGTTAGAACCTACCTCCGATAATTTAATTTCATGTGATACAACTACAAGTCTACAACTTTCATGAATTAGCATATCATATAATGATACAAATGGCAAGACCATTTTTGTTTTTAAAAAACCCTGTTTTTATCTATTACTTTTTTTATATATATATTATTGACAAATGATAGCTCTTGAAAATATTCATTTGTGTTTCATAGCCTGATGATTCTAGCCAGAAGTTTCATGAAGACTTCACTTTTCGGTTTGATTTCTGGTGACAATTGATTAAGCATTTTTTAAATCGATACAATTTGCTAAAATCTTAATTAAACAGGAAAACAGGTAATTAATTGCATTGCTTATCTACCAAACCAACAACTCAGGAGCGGCTTATTCTCTGTTTTGGGTGTGTTGGGTAGCAGTGTGTTGAACTTTTGGGATGGACCTCAGAGACTGATCCTCCCTGTTGTGGGATTGACTCTTAACAATTTAGGGATGAAATTGTGCGCGAATCGAAAGCATAGGGACTGAATTGACATTCAGTTTGCTAAAATACAGGACGACTTGAGTCGCTTGACTAAGTAAATTAAATTGTTTTTCTGCCTTGTCGACACAAACTGCAACAAGAAATCTAAAACAGCAGCATGGGAGAGGGGTTACAGTCATATTGCGAGGAGTCAAGGGCATTCATTCCTTTCCTGAGCATGTCTTTAAGGACAAACATCTGGATGGATAAATATTATGCCACACCAGAACTATCAAATTTCAAAACCCCGGCCACCATTTGCATCTGGCAGGACTCACAAACTTGGCAGGAGATGATTGCCACGAAGAAAAGCACCCTGTGACCGAAGTTCTGATAAAACCTCCTCCACGACTCAAGGTCTAAAACAAACTTCCTGCATATAGAAGCACCCCAATGGAGCTGTCACAGACTACCCTGCAGTTGGCTGACAAGCATTTCAGATCCATTGTCATCATCATTTTCCTCATTGTCAATCTGGTCTTCAGTTCTCTCTTCCTTTGTTGATAGATCATCACCAGTAGCAGGCATGCCTAGGAGTAATGCATATGCTTTATCTTTTAGATGTCCTGACTGCCTCAAAAAACTCTCTAAAGCTTCCTTGCTTGCCATGTCAACTTCTTCCTCACAGAGCTTAAAGAAGGAAGATACATTTGCAGGGTTTGGCTTCCAACTCTTTG